GGGGTCTTTTGCATTTAATATCACTGTATGTAATCTATCCATTCGTCAAATCTTCAGGTGCTGGCTCGGGCCTTTCAAGACCTTGGTCAAGATGACAATGACAGTTATGCCCCCTTGGCATTACATTTGGCAACAGACACCTATATGGAGCACAATAATAAAGATGTCAGACTCCTCACAGCTTGCTGCATTGCAGATGTGTTCCGCATTTTTGCACCAGAAGCCCCCTACAAGGAGGTTGATCTCTTGAAGGTTAGTTTCTGGATTACAGATCTGACTGTATATTATATTACAGAACACTTTGTTGCCTGGTAATAATGGGATGGTGCTGTCTTTTTTGGGCCGTTTCAAAGCTCAAGAGTGTTTTCTAATAGGGTGACAAATATGTTGATGCCTGTTGTTGTTGTTATAAGCTTTCTTTGACTTAAGTGCATGATGTTTCATGCTCTGGGGGGAGGTGGATGGCTTGGTGGACGACTCTGACAATGTCATGATGCCAACTGGTGTTTGTCGAAGTCTTGCGCCCAGCCATTGAGATGGATACTGGTTAATAATTTGAGTTATTGTTTTGATATGCTAGAAACGCTGCTTAGATGTCATGGTACAGGAAGGTTCAGGCATGATTCATCATTATTTTTGTTGTAAAGTGGATGAAAACAGTGGAATATTGTTTTCAGTTTTAGGTACAAGGTTTAAGGTTAAGCAGCTCTTTGACTTATATGTCATGTGTGCTGTAGCCTGGGTGTATAAGATAAACTATCAAAATACTAAAATCCTGCTAAAAATATATTTTGTGACTGAATAAGTAGCTGTATTCAGAGTACAGTTAGGTTTTGTGTATTTACTAGAAAAAGGTACAGCAAGTGGATCAGGTTCTTTATTTCTCACCTTCTTTGTTACAGAGGTCGTCAGTTACCACAACTGATAACATTCATTGTACATTTTTTCCCCTTTTCTACAGGAAATCTTCATGTTCTTCATAATGCAGCTTAGAGGTCTTGAAGATCCTGAAGCGCCGTCCTTCAAGCGTTACTTCTATTTGCTTGAGGTGAGCACTTCGAGATAATTTTGTCCAAAATAATTTTTTAGAATGTGATGTGCAGTTTGTCATGTATAGATAAATCAGTCTCAGGAACATGTGATGAATGAATTTATGTTCTTTTTTCCCCAGAATTTGTCGTGGGTCAAGTCTTTCAACATCTGCATTGAACTTGATGAAAATCAGGAAATATTTGTGGCTTTGTTCAAACTGTTTTTCTCAATCATCAAGTAAGTGATTTAAGCTTGTACTGAATTAAAAATGTATTGATATCAGATGTTGACCCCCCGGGTTGTCTTTTGCTATTTGACCATCAAAGGCATGGTATAATTATTGAGGGTTGACTGAAAAAGAAAATAATCAACCCATCCTCCTGACCGAGTAAGTTCACCAGGAGTGTTTCCCTTGCTGAAGTAAATTTTAAAATAAAAATTTTCATGTTTGGACCTTCATCTCTTGTACAGTATATATATATGTTTTTGGTTGACTTTCCTTGGCTGAGGACACAATGTCTGACTTTCATCCCTGGTGTTATCAAATAAGTATAATTTCCCTTTACTTACTTGAATAAATGTCATCCAAATCCGTTCAATTTTGAATAGCGTTTTGTTAATTGTCTATATCCATGATAATAAGTATAAGCTCATTTCACACTTTGTATGCTGAATATGATGCCTATATATGGCATTTTTCACGCTATTCAAATCAACTGTTGTACATTCTATCGAACACTAAAGCAATTGTACTAGAGTGCTGTCCTTACATTATTTCTGCTAGGGAAACCAGTTAGTAGTGGGGTGTTTTTTTTTAAGAGGAATGGGCAATTCCTGCTTTCAGGCAGCTGGGGACAAATTGGGAACGCTGGGCCTAGGTGTGGAAAGAAATGTGTTGAAAAGAGCAGTAAATGTTTCTTCCAGATATGTCACTTTGTCTTCCTTAAATAACTCGTACGAGTCACAATTATCTATATATATAGTGGAATTGCTGAACAATCAACTAAAAAGATTTCCCTCACTTTTTTTATTATTTGTATTAGTTTGAACTGCTTGTTGAATAGAGAACAATAAGAGAGATCAGCTTAATGAAAGTGTGTGTAATTGGTTGTATTGAAATATTTCCAGTGAAAAACACACCAGTAAAGTGAAGACCTTCATGCTGGATATCATGGCCCCATTGATATCCGAGGCCGACACCGTGTCCCCAGATCTCTTGGAGGCCATTCTTGTGAACATGGTGGAGCCAAACAAGGTCAGTACACGCTCCCTCTCTTGTTTTAAGGGATACCCTTATGAGTCCCGCCGTCTCCACTGCACCCGATTTGTAAGTGCTGTTATATCGCAGTTGAGTGAATTTGGGGATTGGCTCTGAGAGGGGAAAGGTGTGTTTGGTATACTATGTCACCATGATCACTATTTTCTTATTATGGACTTCAACCTATTGTAGTTCTTTTTTTCCAATAGATTCCCTATTCAAAAATTGTGAAATTTTAAGTTCTCAGTATTATAATAAAGGCCCAGTTGTATTAATTAAAGTTTCAAATTGCTTTTAATCAATGAAGTCTGGCAATGTGGATGCAATTTTTGTCTCTCATGTATGTGTTGTTTTTTTCCATAGACCCAGAAGAAAATGTCATATGCAATGGCTAAAGATTTGATCAAGAAGACTGCAACAACGATTGAACCTTACATTCAAGCTGTAAGTATATTGTTATTGGCTTTTTTGTTGAAGCTTATGTAACTGACCAACGTATGTATACAAGTTTCTGTAAAAATTGTATTGTGGTCCTTGCAGTATGGCTCTCAAAATATTAATTTTGTCAATGTGATGAGAAAGCTTGACGAGTGTGGGAAGGGAAAGAATAAAGAAAATGTGTAACATTTTGTAAAATTGCAGTTGCTTCCCTTGATTTCAATTTGAATTACTCTAGTCTTGTTCGTTTCATATTGGTGCAATGTTTGTTCAAACTTGTGGCTTCCATATGATTTTATGTTTGTTGATTGGTGGTTGGTCGGCACTCTGATGTGGTCTAGTTACTATGTTTCTTTTCGGTGTTTTATTAATGTGATCAGATTCTGGTTGAATGTTGCCTTTATTTTGGCCTCTCTGATGATGTCCCCTGGTGTTATTTTACTCTATTCTAATGTTACTCTTTCTTTATGAAAAGAATTGAGAAAGAGGTACATATGGCTTATGGGAACTTAAATAATCTCTCAGCTCGTACAATATAACATATTGCACTGGGACAGAGGGTAAAATTTGTTGAACTCCTTCACTGATAACATGTCGAGATATTGTAATGTAATTTTGTTTGGCTGACTGCTGCTAGAAATGCTGAAGTCTGTCCGTCTTAATGTCTCTTTTATTATGGTCGGTAAAAAGTAAGACAACTGACTTATAATGTAAGGTTCTGACATTTTATCTGTAATCATTATTTTCGGCTTGTCAGAGTAGAATTTAGAGTTTAACCCACTCACTGCCGTGCCCGAACCCTGTCGGTTGATCCGTGTAGACCGCTGCCTGCCAAACCCGAAACCCGTCGGGTGGGTTTTTTCTACTATTTTTCAAACATTCCGCGGCGCGTTTCGGGCTTGGCAGTCGGAAGTAGGCGACATAAACCAGTTTAGTTTCGATTCTGCATTGTTGCAGTAACTTCCCTTGAACAAGCTACTTAAAAATTGGACTTTTTCGAACTCACCCGAAATGAACTAAAAACTACTGACGCTCAGTTACGATGGCGACGGCGTCTCAACAAGGTCGGAACATTTGAATTGATGGACCCATTCGTCAATAAAGGGTCAGATTTATATCTTTTTGCTGATGATAGTGATGATGAACCATCATACAGAGTTGATAATGAAATGAGTATAGGGAAGGAAATAGGAGAGGTGCAGACTCAAGTGAAGATGAAAATTGTGCTAGATTTAGGCCTAGATCTAGAATCGGGTGTTCCCCATGCTCAGACCTATGATCCGATGCTTCCCGGTCCCATCACGCACACGTCAAATATCACACAACGTAGATTTAGACCCCAAATGATAAGAATACAGCTGACATAGTTCCTTCTATGTCTACACAACAAACTTCAAATAGTGGCACCCCTCCCCCAGTGGCCATGCCCCGTCCTGCAACCACACACCCAGATGTTAATGCTCAGGATGGGTGAACTGATGACTTAAATGATATTCCAGTCATATAAAATTTGTCAGATATCTTTTCAAAGTGACTTTTCAACGTTTGTCAGTTGAAACAAAGTCTATTTCTAAAGGCTTGCATATCGACTGAATGTACCAAGCACCTAAATTTTAAGTAAAAGGTTTTTTTTATCGATTTTGCCACATATTCACAAACTCATAAAATTTCACACGCTAAAGGTATTACATTTTTTTTTGGTGGATTTGTTGAGTATGTTTCAATGTCATTGTTTGTGGAAAAGTTCAATGCTGTAAACAAAATAATAAGCTCACAGTGAGGTTTTGAAAAAGGTCCCGAAAGCCTGGCATTCCTCAGTTATCCTGCCGAGAAATGCCTGGCAGTGAGTGAGTTAACTCTAGTATTTTGGACATAATATAATTTTAAAAGGACCCTGTAAAACTATTGTCTTTTGCTGACTAACAGAAATGTTTTTCTTTCAACAAGAGTGTTGAAACGCAGTTTCTGAAATTCCTATCCCCCCCCCCCCCCCCCCCCGAAAGATCATCAATGTTGAAGTGTACTTGCGAGATAGTTTGATAAAACCTGAAACAAATCAGTTTGGTGCTGAAATTTTCCTTTCTCTCTGTCTCTTTAACCATTGCTATTATGGTGTCAAATAAAATGAGATATGTACAATATATGTTTTTGTTTTTCTCTCTCTTGTCAGTTCTTCAACAACATGCTGATGCTGGGAAAGCAAGCAGACAACGATGTGTCCAATCACATGTATGAACTGATCTATGAGTTGAATCAAGTGTCCCCCAGTATTCTGTTGGCCGTCATCCCCCAGCTGGAGTTCAAGCTGAAGGTTTCTACTTTTGCTTCTCTTCCTATTGTTTTGATGGGGGTGGTGGGGGCCTTTCGTTTTCCTGCATTCTTCACTCTGTGATTGTTGGGACTGTAGAAGGGGTGGGTAGGGGGATGTTTTGTTATCTGTTATTTTTTGCAATGGTTGTTTGCTTTATTTGTATCCTAGCAATCTTATAGTGTAAAATTACTATTAAATTCTAATGATTTAATACTTATTTTTTTTCGTTTGAGTTGTAATAATAGACTGTTGCGTGTTGGTCAGTATGAGTCACTGACTGATCAGAGAGAAAGTGCAACAATGGTTTAAATGTGTACTTGAAATAATTTTTACTGACTTAATGTCGTATCTTCTCTGTATTTATGGACTCTCTGCTTATGTGAAGTGACAGCCTTGTTTTCTGTGTAACAAAATGTTTTCTCGTGGATTTAGTTTTATGGGTGTGTATGTCATGTCACAATGACAGTTTGGTCTATTTTTTATTTTTGTTTCACTTTCAGAGCAATGATGAAAGTGAGCGTAAGAGTGTGACTAAGCTCCTGGCAAAAATGTTTTCCGAGAAGGACTCTGAATTGGCTGCGCAGAATAAAGCTTTGTGGATATGTTTCCTTGGCCGGTAAGTTTGGCTTATTTATCATTTAGGAGTGGGTTAAGCAGGTAAGGGCTGTCATGCACTGTGATAGACAATGTTATAACCAGAATGTAAATTTTTTTTGTATAACAACTTGTATACAGTACAGACACACCTGTCTAAAAGTCATTGTCATAGATGGGTGGTCCTCTTGGGCAGAGTCATTATATATAGAAAAAATGCAAGGTAAGAAGTGGTTGCTCGGACAGGTGGTAGTTAGGGCAGGTTTGACGTTATATAAATAAATTTTTTTAGGGGTCTGTGAACATTTTTGTCAGGTTAAGTGCTGTACTTTTTTAGCCGTAAAAATTTTAGGGAAGTGAGTGGTCGTAGAAAAAAGGAGACAGTGCACAACTTACTGATTCTTTTTTGTCTATGTGCTGACTCAAAGCAGCTGGCCATTACAGAAGATGATATGTTTGATGTTTGGGGGGGTGGGTGGTGGTACCTGTTGAATAATAAGAGACATGCCTCTTTGGGGTAGATATATTTATGTAGCATATTCCCCCCTTCATGCTATTTTATGTTTTGTCCACAGATACAATGACATTTGTGTGTCTATTCGACTTGCCTGTATCCAGCAAACGCAGCACTTCATTCTCAACCATCCTGAACTGGTGAAGGACATTTTAGGTATGATGTATGTGTGTGTGAGTCAGAATGGATAAAGGTGATGGCTTTCTTAACTTTCATCTCTTTTTTTGGATTAATTTGAATGTCATTTTGTCTCCCCTTACTACTTTAATAGTGTGTACATGTGGTACGCTATATTTCTTTCTTTGGATTTTGTGGAACTAATGTGTATGTTATTAGAAAGTGCAACTGTTACTTTGAAAATAATTTCTTTTTGTTTGAAAATTGATTGACTTGTTACCAAATGAGATGGGTAGTCATTTGTGTTGCATTTTAGGTTTGTTGTCATTATATTTCAGTTTATATTGATAGGGACAAAACCGAAAGTAATTGAGTTAAGTGAAATGTTCTTAGAACTGGTTGTATTTTACAAAGATTTTCCTACTAGTTATTGTGCACTTTGCAACTGTTTGCTGACAATCTGTCATGTGAACATTACTTCAAGTGCACACATGGAACTCAAGAAACCTGATGGTCAGAGGTTTTTTTTCAATACCTCTGGCCTTCCAAGTTCTTGAGACATCAGGCCGAAGAGCTAGAACCCAGATGGCCGCTGGATCGGAAAAGTAAAGTTCGTACTTGTTGATGTAAAGTTTATCACCTGTATTGTTTTCAAGACATTTTTCATGGTCTATTGTTTTTGTCTCTGGTAGATTAATTTGTTGTAGCTGAGATGGAGGGATGTGTGTGTGTGAGTCAGAATGGATAAAGATGATAGCCTCCTTGACTTCCATCTCTTAAAAAAAAATTTTAAAAATTAATTTGAATGTTGTTTTGTATCCCATTTCTTCTTCCTTAATGTGTACATGTTGTATGCTATATTTCTCACAGCGCCGAATCAGCGGTCGTTTAGTTTCACCAGGCCGTACGCTGCTAGGTTAGCGTGACCTGGGTCAGCTGCCGGTCAGTCTACCTGCGCTCACTCCAAGCGCGGGGTTACATACCACGGCAATTTTACAGTTTTGTTTCAACGCTCACGAATGAGAGCAGGGTTATCAATATACACATAGTGTTCCATCTTTGAGTTTCTTCTTTCAATGTGCAGTTTGTGAAAACGGAACGAAGATATCTAGTATAGTTTTTTAAATGCATGTGATCAAATACAGCCGTCTTATATGTGCCAATTAAGGTAATATGCAGCGAATTAAAAGTTATGTAACTACCAAAGTGCGGGAATAAATTCACTAAAACTTGCTCAGAATAAAGACAATTAATGTGGGTAACTACTTACCAAAGGACATTGTTGTTGGAAGATTAGTAATCCACATTTTTGCATTTTCGTTCAACAGCCAAATTTGTCGGGCTTGTATATCTCTTATGAGAGAGTCGAAAATCAAACCTATAGAGTGTTCTTTGTCAACAATGATTGGATGGTAAAATATCCCTTGGCAGTGACACATACGTCCTAGCCTTTCTTATCAGCCTCTGTTGTACTTAAGTCACATTCTTACACCTGCAAAGGTGACAAAGTTCATTCAGGGAGGAGGAATGTGTCCCGTGTGTGTGTTCCATTTGGAGATTTCAGTAAACCTGTTAGAAATGAATCCCGAGCAGATGGATTCTACATCATATCATAACACGGCTCAATCAACGAAGATGAAATTTATACATATTAAGCACAAATATGTCTGCCTTTCATAGAACTTATAATCTATGAAATTAACGGGGAAGTGTTGAACTTAAAACAGCATAGAATCCAGAATACACATTTGGACGGGTCAATTAACAAGGCACTGGATGAGAATCAGATGTAAACGACTTAATATTGCAAGAACTATTCTTCAAACAATGATGAAAATTATACACGCAAGGCACAAATATGTCATCAGTGCATGTACCAAAATTTGTTGAGATTGAGCGAGCACTTTGGAAATTAAAAGTGAATTAAGTGCAGCACACATATTAAATTCAATGAAATTCAGAACATTTTGCACACACTGTAACATCGGCACATATCGTTGCATTGAGATCGGGTTTTCGCAGACTGAGAGGGGGAATCTTGTTCTTTTCTTATAGTATGGAATATTTCGTGGTTAGAGTGAGGATACTGCCGATATTTAGTGTCAAAAGTGTCGATTACGCCATGACCTGCCCGCCTGTAGCTGATGCGCAATGGCGGCCAGTTACCCCCGCGTAACCAGGCATGGAGTGGTTCCGACGGTGATTTAATTACTCCCAGATGTCGCTGGCCTGGGAAACTAAGAGGCACGATTTTAGCCAGTTTTCGGCGCTGTGTTCTTTCTTTGGATTTTGTGGAACTGATGTGTATGTGTGGGTGGTTGGCGGGTGCTCTGGTGTGGTTTGCTCCTTCTTTCCTATCAAACATCTATCGTCCTGATCTCTCCTCCTTTTTTGTGTTTCTTACTCTCTTGTAACACCTTTAATCTTCGGCACTTATATGACCTTATTGTGTTGCAAGTGGCGTAAAACCCTTACTAAAACAAAAATGATGGGTATGTTATTAGAAAGTGAGTGCAACTGTTACTTTGAAAATAATGGGGGGTTTTTGTTTGAAAATTGGTTGACTTGTTACCAAATGACATGGGTTTAAAGTCATTTGTGTTGCATTTTAGATTTTGTTGTCGTTATATTTCAGTTTATATTGATAGGCACAAAACTAAAAGTAATTGACTTTAGTGAAATGTTCTTCGAACTCATTGTGTTTTACAAAGACGTTCCTACTAGTTATAGTGCACTTTGCAACTGTTTGCTGACAATCTGTCATGTGAACATTACTTCAAGTGCACACATTGAATTCAAGAAACCTGATGGTCACAGGTTTTTTCCAATACCTGTGGCCTTCCAAGTTCTTGAGACATCAGGCCGAAGAGCTAGAACTGAGATGGCTGCTTGATCGGAAAAGTAAAGATCGTACTAGTTGCAGTAAAGTTTATCACCTGTATTGCTTTCAAGACATTTTTCATGGTCTATTGTTTCTGTCTCTGGTAGAATAATTTGTTGTAGCTGAGATGGAGGGATGTGTGTGTGTGAGTCAGAATGGATAAAGATGATAGCCTCCTTGACTTTCATCTCTTTTTTGGATTAATTTGAATGTTGTTTTGTCTCCCATTACTACTTCCATAGTGTGTACATATTGTACACTATATTTTTTTCATTGGATTTTGTGGAACTTATGTGTATGTGTTGGAGGTTGGTGGGTGCTCTGGTGTGGTTTGCTCCTTCTTTCCTATCAAACGTCTATCGTCCTGATCTCTCCTTTTTTGTGTTTGTTACTCTCTTGTAACACCTCTAATCTTCGGCACTTATATGATCTTATTGTGTTGCAAGTGGCATAAAACCCTTACTAAAACAAAAATGATTGGTATGTTATTAGAAAGTGCAACTGTTACTTTGGAAATAATGGGGGGGTTTTTTGTTTGAAAATTGGTTGACTTTATCACCAAATGAGATGCGTTTAAAGTCATTTGTGTTACATTTTAGGTTTGTTGTCATTATATTTCAGTTTATTTTGATAGGGACAAAACCAAAAGTAATTGAGTTTAGTGAAATGTTCTTTGAACTGGTTGTATTTAACAAAGACTTTCCTACTAGTTATAGTGCACTTTGCAACTGTTTGCTGACAATCTGGCATGTGAACATTACTTCAAGTGCACACATTGAACTCAAGAAACCTGATGGTCAGAGGTTTTTTCCCCAATACCTTTGACCTTCCAAGTTCTTGAGACATCAGGCCAAAGAGCTAGAACCCTGATGGCCGCTGGATCGGAAAAGAAAAGTTTGTAGGCTAATAGTTGCAGTAAAGTTAATCACCTGTATTGTTTTCAAAACATTTTCCATGGTCTATTGTTTCTGTCTCTGGTAGAATAATTTGTTGTAGCTGAGATTGAGGGATGTGTGTGTGTGAGTCAGAATGGATAAAGATGATAGCCTCCTTGACTTTCATCTCTTTTTTAGATTAATTTGAATGTTGTTTTGTCTCCCATTACTACTTCCATAGTGTGTACATATTGTACGCTATATTTTTTTAAAGTGCATTTTCTGGAACTGATATGTATGTTATTAGAAAGTGCAACTGTTACTTTGAAAATAATTTTTATTTTGTTTGAAATTTGGTTGACTTGTTACCAAATGAGATGGGTTTAAAGTCTTTTTTGTTGCATTTTAGGATTGTTATCATTATATTTCAGTTTATATAGTTAGGGACAAAATCAAAAGTAATTCACTATAGTGAAATGTTCTTTGAACTGGTTGTATTTTACAAAGACTTTCCTACTAGTTATAGTGCACTTTGCAACTGTTTGCTGACAATCTGGCAAGTGAACATTACTTCAAGTGCACACATTGAACTCAAGAAACCTGATGGTCAGAGTTTTTTTCCTAAACCTTTGGCCTTCCAAGTTCTTGAGACATTAGGCCGAAGGGCTAGAACCCAGATTGAATCGGAAAAGTAAAGTTCGTACTAGTTGCAGTAAAGTTTATCACCTGTATTGTTTTCAAGACATTTTTCATGGTCTATTGTTTCTGTCTCTGGCAGAATAATTTGTTGTAGTTGAGATGGAGGTACACATGAAAAAACAGTGAGAGCCACAACATAACTTACTATAGCTTGTTCACTTTTGTCTGACCGCGGTTAAAACATGATGAAATTGCTTTGTTCAGTCTTCTCGGATCTTTGCATACACAGGTCTAAAAGTTGGATGACTAACAGAATCTAAAAGCTCATTCCTAAATCATTGCAAACTAAGGTTCCAACATGTTTTCTTTGATGTGAGCCTAAAGCGGGTAAAAAAAGAATGAAATGGGATTTACAGCATACACCTAAAACATTTAAAAGTTGACATATTTTCCTCAACTCCGCACTCTAACATACGGGTAAGAAACACAATTCAAAAGTTGGGTGAGTAAGATTTTTGAGACTCACATGGAACACGTTGAGACGTCTAGACTGCGGCG